GGACGAGCAGGGCGACGACGAGAAGGGCGACTCCAAGGAAACGCGCCTCACGCTGATGGAGGAAGTGTTGCTGCTGGGCCTCAAGGACCGAGAGGTGCGGAGCCGTCCCGAGAAAGGACGGGGGGGGCGGCGGCGGCGGCGATGATTTGGTGGTGGAGTGTCTGTGAGGGGGAAGCGGGGCACAAAAATGGGTGCTCCCCCCTTCGAAGTTCCTTATCTGTGAGGGGCTGCGGGAGACAGGAATGCTGGTGGGGAGGGAAGGCCGCCTTCAGGTTGTGAGGTAAAAAGTGAGGTGGGGGAGGGGAGGGAAAAAAATTGAGAGGCCTGCATGTGTGAATGTTTGTGAAAAGTGGGGGCGAGAGAGCCTTGTTAGGAGTCTGAAGGCTTATATTTGAGGGTGGGGAGGTAATATTCCGACTATGTGAGGAAGAAATGCGCGGGGGGTGGGGAGGGCGTTTGTCAGTCCCGAAGAGGTAAAGTTTCAGTTCACAGTAGGAATCATTGTTACAAGACCTTTAAATACCAAGTACTCTAGCTCAGCATTTATAATAGTGATTGTGCTGTTGTTTTGTCGGCCCTTGGACCACAACTTTCTCTCCCCCCCCTCCTTCTGCAGCTTACAATTCATTCATAAAACCATAATCTTCAGGAATCAATCAGATAATAGAAAACAGTTGAGGGGAAAATCACATGCTAACCTGAGCTTTTTGGATGAAGAGAAAGATCGATAGTGATAGATTTCCAAGGTAACCATTACCTTTTAACCTGAGGTTTAAATTTACTCTTATCTACTAACACAGGGGTGGACAATTAATTTCTATAGAGGGGCCACATGAAAAATCTGAACTGTGTTCGGGGCCGAACCAACTTTACTTAAAATATAATGAAGCAGTGATGTTATGATTTTATTTCAAACTTGATAATCTTCACAGATACTAAAGAGGTTTTTTGCGATATGTTAAAGATAAGCAACTGATCAACTTTAGACAAAAAGCTATAAATGGTTTTGATGTTTAACTTGTTCAGTGAGAGAAATCCAATCTGTCGTGGGCTTGGACAAGTGCTTGAACACTGGACTGGAGCAACGACCGACTGGCAGGCTGGACAGGAGTGGCTCGCGGGCCATATGTGGCCCTCGGGCCACACTTTGCCCAGCTCTGTGCTAACATAAGAAAAAATGCTCTAGTTTGCTTGTGGCTGAAATTGTGACAGTTCAAGAAGATGTGTGAAAATAATTTAGAAAAGGTGACTTTTATTTGTTGCAAGTTGGCACAGTGGCTTCAAGCTTGCCCTTTAGGAAAATTAGGACAGGAGGAAGAGTGATGTTAAATTAATCTCTCCTTAGGGATTGGTTTCCAGGTGCTTGTGTTTTCTTAGACTGCCGTGCTATTTATTTATTGCCTGTATGGCAGTTTATGTTCTTTTACAGTATGTGAGCATAGTTGATAGGCTATGTTACAGATTTTAAGTAAATAAATGTCGTATTTTAGCCTTATTTGCTGGGACTCCAGAGTCCCAGAATTTCAACTGTAACAGTGAGTTATTTCAGATAGCAAGTTATGTTAATTTCCCCCTCACCCCCATCTCATGTTTATATGAGTCCTTTAGTTATGGGGTAACTTGGTAGGTCTGGTTGTGCTACAGCAATGTTATTGGAATGCCTTAGCAGAAGCATTAAACTGTGAAAAAGCATCTTGCTGAAACTTTCATCTGAGATACTGTACATGTTACTACAGTATTTAGAAATATAGAAAACACCATCAGTGCAGTTCAAATATGGGGGATTTGTTCCCAGAGAAAGAGAAAGCTCCTGAAATGTGTTTACATACCTTTTAAAAAATGATAAGTCTGTGAGTAAGTAAATCTGGAAAAGGGAAAATAGTTGGTTTGAGACACCTTAAATCAGCTAAGCATGTCAGTAGATGTAGTACTGCCTTCAGCAAGATACTGGCTTTAGTGTATATTGATGGGGGAATTGTGAATTGTGTGCAGGTCATAAAGTAATTTTGGAAGATGTGACCATGTTAATCTGTGCTAGTATAACAGGCAAAAACAAAGAAAAAAGACATTATTTTTTATTTTGTTTATTTTTATTGAGAGATTATTTAAAATTATACGCATTAACAAAATAGGCTTGTGCTCCCTTCCTTTTCCGTAGTTTGTCATAGCCTAAGTTTTCTATGTTTAAGGTTATCAAACAATGATGGCTGATTGTTTGTCTTCAAATCAAGTTTTAGTACAATACCACCATTTTAAATATGTTCCAGTCACTAGTTTAATGGCCATATTTGTTCATATTGGAGTGTTGACAAACTATGTCTATGTCAAACTGTCAGGGAAGAGAAGAGAGCAAACATCCAAGAAGGTGTTTCCAGTTGCCACATCATGGGTTGGTGGTTGTCTCTGTGACTGCTGGATTGAATAGTTGTGAGTTTGTCTGGCAAGAAGTGCGGAGTTCATATATTATGAGTTTACAGAGAAACAATAGTTACTGAATTCAAGCCACCAAGAGGACAGTTTGTTCCAATGTGTAACTGATAATAGGCCTGCGTGGAATCTTCCATAAACCTGAGCTAGTTTGTCTGTCTTCTTTTCTACAAGAATACAATTTTTCTGGCAAATAACCATTACTTATTTGGGTAAATATACTATACAGTGCAATACAGCACAGCCTGCTTAAGGCACAGAATTCAAGAGGATTGGCTGTGTTAGTTTGCAGCAGCAAAACAATAGAGAATTTTTTGGTACCTTAAAGACAGGCATTTTATTTATTTATTTGATTTGTACCCCGTCCATCTGGTTTTAGTTGGCCTGCTGTGTAAATGTCTAAACAAACAAGGAAGGAATGAACCTGTACAGTGTTCAAATTCTGTAATTGAAGCTGAAGTGAACAGTGTGTATTTACCTGCGCATAGCAGCCAGAAACCTGTGAAGGATTTGCACTGGCAAAGGACTAACTGTATAAATCTCAGTGATAAATTGCGGCTAAATAGCAGTTATTCTCATTATTGATCATGCTATGAGGAATGTAAGTAGTATCTTGTTAATTAATGTTCTGCCATTATTTTTCCAGTCTCCATTATGCTGGCGTAAATTCCTGGTAGAATTCTGACCAGCTTGTTCACAGTGTGGCTTGTAAAGCTAGAAGTTTTGATGTAAAGCAAAACACAGATGTAGTTATTGAATCCCCACTAGCACTCAGTATTGTCTGATTCAACCAGGACCTAATGTGTGAGTCCAGATTTCAGTGTGAAACATTCAGCCTTTGGCAAACTATTCAGTCCACAATTCTGATAAATGTCATCTGTTCTTCCCCTGGCAGCCTTCTTGGTAGGGAGAAATGGAGTAAGAGTAAGAATAAAAAAAGAGGAAAGAGTGTGGCAGATTCTGATCCAGAGTTCAATAAGTTGAACATCCAAAACAACATCCAAGAGTTTGTTTAAAAGTGTTGTAACTGACGAGTACTCAAATGTTACCTAAACATTTAAAAGCAGTGAGCTTTACTGGGCTCCTTGAGGGTGGGACCAAGTTAGACAGGAGAGGGGCACCACAGAAAAGATTAGGGTTTGGGGGGGGTGAGGGGAGGAAATCCCCACTATGGATAATAGTGTGGTGACTATATATTCATTGGTGGAGGTGTTTCCCAGATTGAAGGCAACATCTTCAATTTAGTGTGGGAAATAAATTAAGAACTATTGAAGGTCATAAAATGGTAGTGTTCCAGGCCAGTGGTTCCCAATCTTGGGTAATCCAGGTGTTCTTGGACTACAACTCCCAGAAACCTTCACCACTAGCTATGTTGGCCAGGGTTTCTGGGAGTTGCAGCCCATGTTCACCAAGGCTGGGAGTCACTGTTCTAGGCAGTCCATGGTGGATTTCACATAAATGTTGAGTTGCCAAATTCAACCAGTTTCTAAAGTTTTGAAACTGTCTTCAGAGACAGTCCTATGTATAGTATATTCCAGAAAGCCAAAATAATGTTTCAGTTAAAGCTAGATGTTACCATTGAATCAGTACCCCTGAAACTCACAAATAATTTATTTTAATAACTGGGCAACAGTTGAGTCAGCATATTAGAAGGTGAACAGCTAGTTGAATTCCAAAGGACTAACATCCATGTAGTATAGTTTAATAGAAGGAGGCTGTTAGCACCTTTGTGATGCACTCTGGCCAGAGCCCCATTCAGTATTTATGGTAATCAATTAGGCTTTGCACGAGGGTGTGTAGAAACTTACGTTTGAGGAAGAGGACCTTGTGGCAATTAATGGCATGCAGTAGGTTTTTTTAATTTTAATTTTTTTACAGTCAATGACCAGTAAGACCAGAACAATATAAAATAAATACAGTGGTGCCTCACTTAGCAACATTAATCCGTTCCAGGAAAAACGTTGCTAAGCGATTTAATCGCTAAGCGATTTTTAAAAGCCCATAGAAATGCATTAAAACGTTCCTATGGCTTCAAAACTAACCTTATGCAAAGATCCTCCATAGGGGCGGCCATTTTCGGTGCCTCTAAAGCGAGGACACACAGCGGGAGGCCATTTTGTTTTTCCGGTGGCCATTTTGAAACCGCCAATCAGCTGTTTAAAAAGGGTCGCTTTGCCACGATCGCTTCCCCGCGATCATCACAAAGCGATTTTTCCCCATAGGGACCATCGCTAAGCGATCGCTCTTGCGATGGCCAAAACCCCATCGCTAAGCGATTTCGTCGCACCACTGTACATACAATTGTAGTTTCGTAAAATTAAGCAGAATTATAAATTTTCCATTAAAAACATGATAAAACAACTCCTTCTTTCCGGTTAATAACATCTATCTTTAAAATAAGTAAAGCCTCAGCCAGTTTTATATTAAATGCATTATATTATCCATCTAAAATCACAACCCAAACATCTGGTCATGAATACATGCAGTAAGTTTGTGTCTGTCTCTCTCTCTCTGTGTGTGAGTGAGAGAGAGATCTGAACCCAGGTCTCTTGAGATCTACTATGCTACACTACACTGGGTCATTCTTATTAGCTATAAATTAGGGGATTTAGTGTGACATTTTCATAGAATCATAGAAAAGTGAAGTTGGAAGGGGCCTACAAAGCC